GTTTGCAAATGAGGATATAGGCCTCTTCTTCCGGTTCAGAGAAAGGAACAGTAGGGCTAAAGAGAGAGGGTAAAAGAACATGAGTCCAAAATACCTTTCCAAGTTAGACTGTAACAGAGTGACAGAAATTCAACGAGCTAACACTTCGGTATGCACTAGTTGCTGAGGAGAGAGTGGAGTGGTTCAGGGTATCGTAACTTGCCCAAAGAACACATTAATATGTGTTGGTATATCCACTTTAGGGTACGATAGGTAGAGCGAGATTCAGCAAGACCACGTTGGAGACTAGAGTTCGACAGATCAGAGACCGAGCAACCAAGGTAGCAAGCATAATTACAGCTAAATCAATTATCCGAATATTTCTCATACAATAATAGTAATAATAAAACAACTGCTAAGCTGTAACACCCTTTTGGTGCCTAGCTGTCATATCATCCGAAGGGAGTATGAGGGATGAGATACTGCCGGGGTGCTGAAACATACACAGGAACATCTGAGATGCCAAGATTGGGTTCGAACCACGAAACTTTCTGTCAGTAACTTTGCGCCTTTACCAGAACTGTTTCGAGCTCTAGACTTTATGTATATAGAGAAAAAGACAATAAGAAAATCGTGTCTTGTAAGACACGTCAGTTAGTTGCGATTTGTGCGCACCGAAACCCGTAAATTGTACTCGGTTTGAAAAGTTATTACCGAGACTAATTACGAAGTATCTATAGAACCCTTTGACGGAAGCTTTCAAACGTCTTGGTGCGCTCAAATAATAGCAACAGACTGTTCCCCATTCTAGAAAGTGACAAAGCGATGCCCTATGCAGTAAGAACCACATTCGGCGAGATCACTTATGGCCGAGTTGAAATTTTTCGGGTGTGGCCGTACTTGTGGTCATTTTCCCGGGGACTATCAATTTAAAAACCCTGAGAAACATATCCACAGATGACGGTTGACTGTAAAAATCGAATGAGTTATACTTCCAGTAGCACGGGTTGCCGACCGTACATCTATCTGGGTTCTGTTCTTTCTAACAGTTTACACATCTCAGTAGGCCGGAAAAAAATATGGTCCGAGTCGGAGATTGGGAGAACCGAACTTTGACACATTTGAGTGAGGGTCGATAAGCCGAGTCCACAAGTCTATATACAAGATTGCTCACCTGTGTGTGTGTTGAAAGTGCCTCTTCTGCTTGACACGCTGCGGTCGATGAAGGCGATGACGACGGAGCAACAGAGTGAAGGTCACGTTCGGACAATACAGGAGGGTGGTTGCGTTTCACTGTGCTAAAAACACGTCCAAAGAATACTTCATTCAGATACTCATATAAAACTAGTCACATGAGAGTCGTCTTAGCTGGTTGGGTACTGTTTCAGAGCACTTCGTGTTCATAAAAAACACTGAGATTGGATCCTAAATGGTTCAAAAAACGACGTCGTTCGCGCTTATTAAGAGAAAGGTTCGCAGTATTTTTCATGACATGTCCGCCTAAAGAAGTTCCTGGGGCAGACAAGTTACTCAACTGCAAATAAGCAACCGTTTTCCGCTACAAGATGCCGAATGCATCCTGTTCAACCATCAGCAAGGGGAAATCCAGAGTAGATATTAGATGAACGCCAAGTGATATGAAAAAAGCCGAGGGTTTGTTTTTAGTTTTCCCCAACGTCAAACTGATGGCCTGTTAGCAAGAGTGTGCTGCTCTTAACTAACAATGAACGAATGTGCTGGAAACGTTTTTCCAACTGATCAACATACCCGAATTCGGCTGTCTTGAACACCTGTCCACGAGCAAGTCGCTGGGCTAACAATTCGCGTTTCACAGCTGCACGTTCCAGAGTGGGGTAGTTCCTGAACAGGGAAAAAGTGGTACAGAAATGTTGCGATTGACAAAAATGATTGACAAAGCATCTAAATAGCAGCTAATGGACAGTAGACCTATGATGGAGGTGTGCGGCAAATCATCTGAAAGTTGATGCAAGGTTGCCCAGGCCTAGACAGGAGCAGCCGAGGTGCATAGGTTGGGTGCGAACCACAGACCTGGTTAGTGCGTTCGCGCCTTAAGCACTGAGCCTTTGTGAACTCCACCAAGTCTATGAAGCACGGAAACAAGAGGGAACAAAGAAGCGATGTTATGGACCCCTTAATGGGTCAGATCGGCCGACCTAAGAAAACGTTAACCGAAGAAACGTTATTCTGGATCACGCCTTGAGGTGTGTTTCAAAAATCAGGCTTCTAAAAGAGAATACTTCCGAAAACGAATCAATTTTGCTTGGCCCTATGGAATGGTCCCTTCAGAGAACAACCGTATCACGTAGATCGGTCTCGGTTGGTGGGAAAAGGGTAGAGAACCATACAGGTCTGTTTGGCAACCTCCAGCGTTTGAAAAGGCACCAGCGAAGTGTCCCAAACGGTTAGCATTGACCAACCAGGGGGCAAACTCTTCAGATCGTGCGAAAATAGGTGAAGTTTGTTTGTCTTGTTTTTGTATTCCGCTTTCCCTGAAAGCTAAAAAGCTTGATAACCTTCTTACAGTTACATACATATAATTGCAAAAAACATCCAACATATAAGATAACATAATTCTTGAGGTAGTTGAGGAGAAAAGTGAATTGCTGCAATACGATGTTAGATTCACGTTGATGGAGTAGGTTAGTCATCATCATCATCATCATCATCATCATCGACAGCATGACATCAGTGTTCAACACCGATGCTTCACTGCCGTATTGTGTATGTGCTATTCATGGTTGTACGTGGGCTGGGATACTGCCAGGGCGCCCACACCTAGACAAGAGGACGATTAGGGTCCTCAACCAAAGCCTTTGGCTCAAAAGCCTAACCGCAAGGCAGCGGTGTTTGGCGGGAAATACAAATGCATTACCATTTCTACGGAACAAGTCGCCACATGTTCCAACCCCCAACCTGGAGGGCCAGGAGACTGTGTTCGTCAGACCTCTAACCATTGACCAACCTGGTATGAGAGACTGTGAGTGTCGCGAGACACTCTCCAGTATAGCTCAATGGATCGCTGGGGTGCGCAAACCGTCACACCACGGTAAGGTCCAGTCTCTTCGTGACGGAAACGGGATTGTTAGGGGTGGGAAGTAGCAGTATCAACACCGATGTCACCGTTTGTGATGGTGGTGGCAGGGTTGTGCGAACTGAAGAGCTACCATTCCATGATTTCTACTTTGACGTGATATCATCATCAATCTTCCTCTTTACAAATTCAATAACTCCGTTTTTGTAAGGACTGCGTTTGAAGGACGCAAAAAGTGACATTTGCAAGGAACATCCAGGGGCAATATGATTTGGTCTGAAGCACTGCAAGCACGTTCACAAATACATGATGAAATTGATGGCATTGAAGATCCATAGGTACATGTGTACGTACCTTAAATTATAAAGACTGACTGCTAGTAGCCAGTTCAGTCGAGTGCTATTGTAACAATTCTGCCAAGGCATGAAAACATGTGGGAATGTACGACGTTGAGCAATAAAGTTTTTGAAACTGAAAAGGTCTACAGATGGATCAGGCACAAGCTTCGACGCAAATTCAAGTTTGTTGTACCCTTTTAAACGGTGTTTGCAAAGCGGTGGCCTCCCTAACTGAGTAGTTCTTTCGTGCGCTCAGGTGATTCTCATGGACGATACAGATGGTCTTTATACAGCGGTTGCAACGTTGCAGTTCTTACAGAGGACGTAACAATACTGCTACACTATCGCCCGCATTTTATGGTTATCATAAGAAATTTCGTACACTGTCATCTATTTAGCAGAACATGACAATTATTCGGAGATAGCTCGGCACCCAGACTATTCCTGTCTAGACTTGGGCAACATTCGTGCATCGGGTAGGATGGCAGCCAGGCACCAGAAGGGCGTTAAAGCTGAACGACGTTCGACTCAAACCGGTTAAACGTTTTTTTTTCATCAGTGACCTTTGCTCCACTATACCGCTGTAGTTGGACACAGTCACAATCAGCAACTGTTTTTGCAAGTGAAAACTGTTGCACATCAAACGCATACCAGGATGGTTCATCTCACTAATAAGTGCTACAATGGATATTATTCATTGCTGTGGATAAAGAAGGGGATAGATTTGGAAATTCCGGCTCAAATTTGGCTGCCAGCCACCTGATCTTGAAAACTGGTGTAGAGTTTGCTCTCTGGCATCAATTCAATAATCTTGTTAAAATGGTATTATATCTGTCAGCCAGACTCTCATACTATGAGGACAAGTGCTGTACGGTAATGACATTCCATTAGAATACTCAGATAGTGAACTAAGGAAAGACGCCAGATACTCCTAGTGTACTCTGTGTGTCGTGGAACAAAAAAGGTTGGGCAGGGTTACTTCCATCTTTAATCCTATTTTGAGTTGACCTCGGTTCCACAATCACACTAATAACCTCCGACCGTCTCGGAGGCGTGAATTGTCAGAATGCTCACAGCAATGTAGATTCAGGAAGATCAAGGCAGGTATACTCCGTCACGCAATTTTACAATGAACATGATAAACTAAGGCATTCACGCAAAAACTAGACGCCGAATTAAGTCAATCAGATGTCTAGGATGCTTCCCCTACGACAGTATGAATTTGTGTTCTCTATCCCCCGCTTTTATGAGAGACGGGATTTTAGTCAACCTGATACTTCTGAATTCAACTACGTTTCACTTCGGAGAATTAACACTATACCTCCGCAGTCCGTACCACAAGGTCTAAGAGTTGGACGGTCCGATCACAATACTAGTTTATCCTGAAGGCTGCACAGGTATATGAAGAAAATCGGAAGACCAGTGTTGGGATGGCCCAGAGATAATTCTGAGGAAGTAATTAAGACGTCGCAGAAGAGCTAGGATATCCAGAGAAGTTAAGCTGCACTGTCCGCCGATTAGCTGACTGACTGCTTTAGACAACACTTTCCATCACTGGCTGTAGAGAAAAGATAACTAAGGAGATAAAGATCATAACACAAAAGCACTGGTGAATAGGTGGCAGTAGTACGACAAAAGTTGGCGCACTGACTATAAGCGCACTCTTTTATTTGATAAACCAGCTGTCCTAGATACAGTACCAGGATATTTAACAAGGTCTATACATACACCTCTGTAGGGAGTACATGTCTGCCCTGTTCCACAATTTGAGAAAACAGGTTCAGGTAGACGGATCAATGTTCCCTCGACAACAAGGTCGTTCTGGTTTCAAAGAGAGCTAGCGTTTTTCTTGGTATCACACACTGCCCATACTGTTCGGCAGTGCACTTCCGGTTTCCTCCTTTTTGGGCACATGAGGTAACAGAACTATGAGTCGCGAATGAGCGTATTTCGATTAGAATTACTGTTGTCTTTAATGATTTCTTCCTTTTCAAAGGAAAAGACAATAGGAGGGATGTAGTCCTAGACTGTCACACATTTCAGGCTCGATGGTTCAGGCGTTAAGGCAATAACCTACTGACTGGATGGTCCACGGCTTGAGACGAAACCCGGCATCTCGACTTTACCTGTTTAGGTTTGGTTAACCTGGCAGCATTTCAGCTTCGTGCTTCTTGAGGGTTGCTTGGCAGCTAGGTGTTGCAGCTGGACGATTTTTTAAGTTCTTCTCCAAAGGTTTTACACCTTCACCTAACCAGAGTAGAAACTGGTAGTAAAGATGCCACTGAGATCAATTTGGAGCACATCTGGTCAAGCATACGAAGGGTTGCATAGGCCTCGTTTATGCGGAACTAACTTACCGTCTTCGCGCCGCTCGCCATTCTAAAATGCCCTTGTCTGATGTCTCCCGATATATTTGATCGTAAAGCCCACCACTGTGCACCTGCGGACACTAGATTAAGAGACAATGTCAACTGAAAACGAACCACCTCCGTATGAATCCGAAGTATTCTACCATATCCAACAAAAGGACAGCCATCCACCCCACACTAAAGTCGAAATTTGACACCGGACCACAAAGTCTACCGGTTGGTGATTTGCTACATGTTCATTGTACTCGGGTTCTGTGTAGAAAGCTTCGTCACAACAATACTTGATCGGTTCATAATAGTCACGATCCTCAATATCGAAGGTCACTCCGTAAAGACCTTCACGACGTCTATGCAAACGCCTTCTTGAACGAAGTTTCTATTCAGTTCACCGGGAAGAAAACTGCACCTACTTTATGTGATGCGACTCGATCAATCTGTTCTAATACAGACTCAAGCTCATCCAACTGTTCCGAGGTTCGCCACAGAAGGTCGAACGAAGGCAGCTCCATTCAAACTTGCAGTAAGGAAGGCTATAAAAACGCAAAAAGAACGGTTGCAATGTTTGAAAAAAATTACGAAAAACAATCACATCAACAGATTGACAATACGGCTGCGCCACCACCAACTAACACTAGATGGATCGAATTTCAAAAATAAGTGCTCCAGTATTTCACAGCTAGCCTTGGGTGACGAACAACCTTGCCTGCACTAGTTCAGTTTAGTCGTGGTTTATAGTCTCCTGAAGGGAACTCTACCAAAGTTGATGTTGCTAGTGGGGCAACCGAATCAAACGTGAAAATCCCGTTGTTTAATTTCTGCGCGATAGACTTGCGGTGCAACGGCTCACTTCCAACTAAAAGCGGAATAAGCGCAAAATCAGTCTGCGAACCAAGGTCTACGTCGAAAACCAAGAATTACCTTGAATCTTTGAAATCCGACACTGAGATCACGGATCTATGAATAGTATACGACGCGCGTCGCTAGAAGCAACAGTGGATCGACATTTTTGTACAACGCTTTTGGGCCATGAATCACGGGGGTGAGGTGGAAAGTGACATCAATCGAACCGACTTATTTTCCCTCCCTCGGGTTGGTGCAGCTCTGAACTCCCGAAACGAGGCTTCCTCGGTCGAATGGATCACGAACGACCGTCTTTGCGCTGCTCGTCCACCAACTTCAATAGGAATTCACACTAGCCAAAATGATATCCGTTCATGTGGCCGGAGTTCGAACCCGACCTCTGCCTATCGACTTCCCCTGTCTAGGCTTGACCAACCTGGCAGTATCCCAGCCCTCGTGCTTCCTTCGGGTGGTACGGCAGCTGGGCACCGGAGGGGTGTTACAGCTGAACAATTTTATATGTAAATATATACTATATGTATACTATACATGTATACTATATATATACTATCAAGGACTGACAAATCTGCTGAGCACGAGGAGTTTAGATATGCTACCAGTTGATGGCAATCGCAATGCACAGAGGCGTCGTTGGATAGCTTATTCAGCTTGAGCTTTGGACATAATGATAATGGCTATCGTCTTTCACAGCTTTGTATTGATCACTAACTGTCTCCCATTAGTACTGGGTTCAAGACAGTGGACGCCGCTATACTGCCAAAATGTAGTCATTAGTAATTGGCTGTATTCTATATTTCCGATCTTTCAGGATCACTCGCGTCGGTTTATCAACTATAAATCATGTACCAACGGTACACTGGCTTCAGCCGCTACGGTTTCGGTCAGCGAAAAACGGGAGCGTGGGAGATAGAGCCAAACATTGGAGATGTTGACACTATCAGTTAGTTCCCAGAGTATATTGCTCTGAGAATACGGGAAACTGGGCAGCTACACAATTAGGGTGATAGATTCAATGCAAGAGCACCAGTGACTGAGTTGCTGAACCACGTATCCCAGTGCCCACAAACATCGATGAGTTCAGATCACAAGCAAAAGTCAAAATCGAGTTTTCTAGAAACAATAAAATCGTAAATTTCGTTTGGAAGCAAACAACTTAACATAAATTTTGAACTCAGCGATAACCGAATTGTAATGGCTGATTCACTCATACCGATTTGACCGGAGATCGAGTGTGATTAGTTCACCCTGGGTTGAAGCATCTGGAACGACACTCGGTTTATAAGATTCAGTTGTCGATGGAAATTAAATTATCCAACAATATCGAGCGGCAGAACTGGGTAGTGTGTACAAACTATGGGGGCATAACTGCCTAACTGATATGCCACCAGAAGAAAGCAAGAGGACCGGGATACTGCCAGGTTGCCCAAGCCTAGACAGGGGAAGTCGAGAGACAGAGGGGGGTTCGAACTACAGACCTAATCAGTAAATTCGCGCTCTAACCACTGAGCCATTTCGCCCCTGGAGATGTGAAGTGCACAGCTAGTTTACATGGCCCACCCGAATAGAGAAATGAATACCTGTTTCGTATATTTTATGTCCAGTGCCACGCACAATACAACCTAGTGTCCACTTTTTGGAAATGAAATAAATGGTCCAGGTTTAGCGCCGCTTTGGCGCTTATCTGTCATACTACCTGGGGGAAGCACGAGGGCCGAGATACTACCAGGCTGCCCAAGCCTACACAGGAACAGTCGAGACGCAAAAGCACCTCGATAATTTCTAACGTCGTATCCCCCACCTGAGTTTCAGTAGTTCTCCCATGGATGTGCTCATAAATCATCCCACTTGATCGCTGGACTGTGGATAGTGTATAAATAAAAATCATCCAGTTGTAGCACCCTTTCGGTGCCTAGCTGCCATGCCACACGAAGGAGGCACGAGGGCTGGGATACTGCCAGGTTGCCCAAGCCTAGACAGGGAAGTCGAGAACCAGAGGTCGGGTTCGAAACACGGACCTCCCGGGCAGTAAATTCATGCTCTAACCACTTGGCCCATCTCGTGTCTAGATATCGTTCTGCTGATAAAAAAGTGGATGTAAATGTGCCGCAGCTGTAGGAGACTAAGACTTCCTGAACTCCGAAATGACTCAACATCTTGTAGTTTTAGACAAGTGAGTGCGACAGCTAATGTGAACCATGGCAGCATATGGCACATGGCGCTTTGTTCTGGAGCCGGTTTCGCAACGAATACCATCTGAGACGAGCATTGGTGCAAAATGCACGTCATAGAACGAGGTGACTTTGATCAGATCATCCAAAACACTAGTGGTTTCTTTTTCTCTTCGAAGACGAGAACGATATCAACTGCATATTCCAGATCGACAAGGCTTTTGTCGGTAGCTATTTGGACATCAGAGTTTTAAAGACCTTACAGCGTTCGCTCCAATATCTCGTCGATCAAGAAGTTAAATAGGAGTGGAGAGTGGGTGGCTCTGATGGACACCACTTAGAGTACGGAAGCTTTTTGAGACCTTTCCATATACTCCCACACGCTCAGAAGAGAACACAAAACACTTATTATGCTCATTAGCTTTCAGGGCATTCCTTAGTGGGCAAGGACAAGAAACCGCGCCTTGTAAGTCTAGACCTACTGATACTTTGAGTAGTTTTACGCATGGCGTTTTTCTGGTACGTGATGATTTGGTCAATAAAGCCACTATCGGCCAGGAATCCAGCTGAACGCTCTCGAGTCGACACTGCACCAGACACCACAAGGCGATGGAAGATGGAAGCTAAGAGCATCCCGATCTCTCAAGTCCTTCCAGTTCCCGAGCCTTCCGTATGAAGTAAGCGTCACAGTCGGCATGCACCCTCACACCTGACCTCTGATAATTCGTCTTGCCAAGTTAAGTTCAGGCACGGCGGGAACATTTCTCTGACATTCAAGCAATACAGCTATCTTGTCTGATACTAAGTGTTTGAGTGGGTCTGGTAGCGCCGTGCCACAGGCAGAACTAACACCACTGTGCAAAGATGCGTCAATCTCGTTCCAGTGTGAATTCATATCCGACGGTGGAGTAGTTGGAACCGAGTCCAGAAGATGATGCTGATAAATTCATCTAACTTCTGGATCTACTAGTTTCTCAATTGCTAAGTAGTCTTTCGGCACCTTACTCAGTTCTGGGAAACAAAGATAGAAGCGACTTCGGACAAGCGCGTGGTCGGAATCCAAAACAAGCGGCAATCAGGTGCTGATCCGCGACGGTAACTAATGACGGTGCGATCAATTTAGGTTCGTGGCTGACACGCTGCTGAAGGACAACATATATCCATACGAGTTCGGTTATTTCGCAAGTTCGTAGTGCATAAAAACAGCCTGCGGTCAGCACATAGCTGAAGCCCACGTTCGTCATTATCCGTACATATCGAGTTCAATCCATGTCGACCACCTAATTGAGTATCACGTACACTAAGCCTGTCCACTTATGCATTCGGATCTTCAGCAACCACAACGATACCTGAGCTTTTAGCCCGCCGTGCTAGGTCATTCAAGGCGTCAAAAAACTTGTCTTTGATGGTGCCGGGGCTAGTGGGTTGAGGCGTAAGCAGACACGACAAACGGACAGTGATCAACCCTCCACTTGTGAGACCCCCTCAATGACCTTCTCAGGTGAAAAACACAGGTGCCTAGGAACGAGCATTCAGTCAAGCAAGGATCCTTCTGCCCAGTGACTTGGGACGATACCAACGCCTGCATCTTGGAATGCTTGTTTCTGATACACAGCGCGAGCCCAGCGTGAGAACAAGAGCAGCTTGTTGTCATGCTTCACAGTGCGAACACTAAAACCGTCCGAATAAGCTGGGCGTCGAGGCTTGAAAATAGGTTTTGAGATGCCTGGGACTACCAGCGCCGGCTGAGGCACGGATGCTGCTGCCAAAACCGATGCAAGATGAATGGGGTCGTCAATCCTAACTGACGGGCCTACAAGGAGGGAGTTATTAATGGGGAAAGCAGAGAGGGAAAAGTATGCGGAAGAGAAAGAAGGGAGGCGTCCGCAGTATCTTATTCTTTCTTGCCTGGCCGGGAAGTAAGGCTGGTAACAACACACGACGGCCAATGTGGCATGAGAGCATTGTTAGTTGTAAGTGTCGTGGGTGAGATACTGCCATGGCTCCCAGCTATAAACACGGCGACAAGGGTCCTCGACCAAAGCCCTCGTCTCAAAACCCCGACCGCAAGGCAGTGGTGTTTGGCGGCAAAGGTAGGAATAAACCACCACATATGCTCTAATCCCCAACCACGCACTCACCTGGAGAACCAGAGGGCTGTGTTTATCGGACCTTTAGCCATTGACCAACCCGGTAGTGTCACATGGGCACCTCTCACTATAACTCAATCGGTCATGGAGACAAATGAACCACCACGTCACGGTAAGGTACAGTCAAAATGGCACAGTGGTCCATGGTTGGAACTCAAACTCAGCATTTCGACTGTTATTGGAGAACCTGGCAATATCCCAATCCTAGTGTTTCCTACCGTTTGCATGGCAGCTGGGCATCGGAAAGGTACTACAGCTGGAGGTTTCCATTATTATTACTGGGACACTGTAGGGGCAACCAGACCTCAACAACATACCGGAGCTTTTGAT